CCAGGCTCCACATGGCTCCCTTAGCCTCAATGCCACCAAGAGAGCTGCTCAGCCCGCGAGGCACTGGCCAGTCTGCTAACAACCACAAAACACTCTGGGCGGGATGCGGCTGGGTCTCCTTCGCCTCCTCTGAGCCATAGAGATTGGCCCCCCCGGGGACAAGTCTTCTGATTTGGGTTCAATCTCTGGCTGAGGTCTTAAGCAGTTTTTCTGTGCCTGATGATATATGAGTGAGAGCCCGGGAACTCTTCCTGCCTCCTCTTGGAGAATGTCTGCCAGCTCCACATAGGAGGTAAGCTATTCCAAGAATCATTCATGGGAATTCGGCTTCATAGTTTTGGCTTCATAGATGGCTTCATAGTTTCAAGAGTAAGGGCCAAAGATGAATTTACAACAGCTCTTGCCATCATGTACTTCATTTATTCCTCTTTAATGTCCTCTATATATTAATCCATTTGGGTCCCTTCACGGAGGACCAAAGTTGTCCGACATTGGAGTAATACTTTCTTGCCCCCTTGCTCCCCTCTAAAAAGCCCACCAATAATTTGATTCAAAGTAGAAGAACTTTGGATAACAGAGCGTACTGCAATACTAAACAAGGTTCATAAAGTGCCATTCTGGAAGGAGCCGGAAAGACCAACAGCCAGCACCACGGAGGTATTTTTAAATGGTGCTGAGTAAGAAATGTTAGGAAGCAAATGAGGACTATAACATAATGTAATATATGTAAATTTTAAATAAATACATGAAATAATACTCATATCTTATAAAACTACATACCTATTCAAGGACAAATATCTTTCACATTGATGTAGTGGCCTATTGGGAAGAAAGGGATTAGTGCTAAGAATGGAGAAGGAGGGAGAGAGAGAGAGAGGAAGGAAGGAAGGAGGGAGGGAGGGAGGGAGGGAGAGAAGAAGGAAGGAAGGAGGGAGGGAAGGAAGGAAGGAAGGAGAGAGGAAGGAATGAAGGAGGGAGGGAAGGGAGGGAGGGAGGGAAGAAAGGAAGGAAGGAAGGAGAAGGGAGGAAGGGAGAGGAGGGGAACAGGAAAGAAAGGAGGAGAGGAAAGGGAAGAATTTAATAATGGTGATAGCGGATTATGTCTTGAAGAATATGGAGTAACTCTAACATAAGTTAAAAAGGAAGCAAGCCCTAAATTAAACCTTTCATTTTACAGATGGAGAAACTGAGGCTCAGAAAGATGAACTGTTTGATGCTGGGATTTTATTGCTATTCAGTGGCAGAAACCAGGCATTTTGACTTCCAATTCAATGATTTCTACTGCATCAAACTGCTACATGTATACTTATAATACCTCACTTCCTTCCCTTCTAATGAGTAATTCATCTAAGTACAGTTTTAACTAGAGAGGTTGATCATTGCTGGCCCAATTCATGGTCCCTCTCCCAGAGAAGTCACCCACCCCTGCTGAAAGACTAAGGCCTTGCTGGACACCAGGTGACCTGGATCACCTTCTCTTGGCCGATGGGCCTGAAGTGGGCACCTGATTCAAGGGCAGCCCTTCCAGAGACAGGGTGGGGGTCACCAAGCATCCTGGTTTGCCTGGGACCGAGGGGGTTCCCGGGATGCAAAACTGTCAGTGCTGAAACTAGAAAAGTTTTGAGTCACCTGGGACAAGCTGGTCATCCTGGCAGGGAGGGACTTAGGAACTGTGAGGCCAGCTTCAAAAATAGATTCTCAGTGAGAAACGGGGAATCTAGCAGACCGAGACTGTTGGCTGCAATAGAAGTGCTGTGGTGAAACAGGGCAAGGAGCGTTAAGAAGCTTCCATATGGGTCCTACATAAACAAAACTCGAGAGCAGAAGCTTCGAGTAAGTGGAGGACACTGGTTGACCAAGGGGGAGAAAAGGGTCTATCTTTGTTCAGAGACAAGCAGACTCCTGCCCTCAAGAGAAGGACTCTGCTGCTAATAGGATAAAACTCTCACATCGGCCCTTCATTTCGGAGGCACATGGTGGCAAGATAGGGGTGCAGATCTCCAAGAAGAGGAAGTTTGTTGCTGACGGCATCCTCAAAGTGGAACTGAAAGAGTTCTCACTCGAGAGCTGGCTGAGGATGGCTACTCTGGAGTTGAGGTCCAAGTTATGTCAACCAGGATAGGAATTAATACAGGAGCTTAAAATGAATTATTTAAGCAGATAGTGAGGGTAAGAGAGTCCTCAGCAAGCCTTCTCTCTTAACAAAAAGCAGCCCCCAAATCATTTATTTTCTAACAAAGAGCGCCTATAAAATCGAGCTGCAAACATAGATAAACAAGCTGTAAGTTTGCACGGTGAATGCCGGCAGCTGTGCCAATAGGAAAAGGCTACCCGGGGGCCAGCCATGTTCAACATGGAGGCTCCATCGTCCCTTTTCTTTGTCAACCATGTGTACAACAAAGGAACAGGCAACAATGGCACAGGCCAGGTAGAGAACCCATCTACATAATAAAAAATTAGGGTGGAGTGGCCAGTTTCCTCACAAGCTATGTAAATAGCACACCTGGTCCAACCATCGAAACCACCTCCTCAAGCTCATCTATAAAACCCCGTACATTTCACCAGGAAACCGAAAGACCTGCTCAGGAGCCCCTCTCTGCAGGAGAGAGAGCTTTTCTCTTTCTTTTGCCTATTAAACCTCCACTCTTAACCTCACTTCTTACGTGTCCACATCCTTGATTTCCTTGGCACGAGGCAACAAACCTCGGTTACTACTCCAGACAAATGACGCTGCTTCAAAATCATTATCTTAGCCACCAAAACACAGAATGTTATTGGTGAGAAGGGCTGGCAGATTCAGAAATTGCCCGCTGTAGTTCAGAAGAGGTTTGGCTCCCAGAGGGCAGTGTAGAGCTTTTTGCTGGAAAGGTAGCCACAAGAGGTCTGTGTGTGTTTGCCCAGGTGGAGTCTCAGTGTTACCTCCTGGGAGGGCTTGCAGCGCAGAGGGCGTGCTATGGTGTGCTGTGGTTCATCACGCAGCGGGTGGGGGGCCACAGGCTTCAAGGCTGTGGTGTCTGAAAACTCTAAATGCAGGAATTTTGTGGATGGCCCGATGATCCTCAGCAGGAACTCTGTTTACCTCATTGACACCGCCATGTACCAGGTGCTGGCCGTCAAGAAGGTCATGCTGCCCTGGGCCCCAACTGATAAGACTGACTCTAGGAAGCCCCTGCCTGAGAACATGAGCATCATGGAACCCAAAGATGAAGTACTGCCTACTACCCCCATCTCAGAACAGAAGGGTGGGGAGGGAGCCATAGCGCCTGCCATGCCCCAGCCAATCCCCACAACATGATGGGGTCTCCTTGACAGGTGTGTCTGGCGTCTAGGTGTTATCCTGGAAAGGACTTTAATAACATCTTGTACAAAGTCACAAAGCCTGACTCGACTGTATGTCCAGTGTTCAGACTGAGGGGCCTGTTGGCCTGCAGAGCACTCCTTAACCTCTTGGTGCTAACCATGCTTGTGGAATTTGCAGGAGGACCCAAGCAGAGCTAACCAGAGGAATGTCCTGTGTGAGAGTGAAGGCTGATGGCTAGCAGGGCAGCACCTCAATTAACTGTCCTGTAGTTCAGGATTGTAGCTTTAGAAGCGCGATATATTTAGAATGATTTTTCCTATGCCTAAGAAAATACGTATTGCACATATAACGTAAATACAATGGTCATTATGGTGTGTGTCATACTGTGCTAAATGTTCTTTGCATTCACACTCATTTACTCCTCAACATCTGGAAAGCGGAAAGGAAATGTGCTGCGCCACTGAAGCTCAGGCTCAGAAGCAAATATGCCTAAGCAGCATGAAGCTGCCATTAGGATCCACATTCCTAAGTTCTGCTCTCTTGACCATTCTGTTCTGGAAAACTATAAGGAATATTTAAATGGTCAAAACAGTAACAACAAAGCACCTCTCACATTAGTCTTTGGTAGCCCAGAGTGTGGTCTCAGCCTTCCTGCAAGGCTCACCCATGCACAGCTTACAACCAACCCCTCTTCTCTGGAGCTACTCTCATTAACTTTCTGCTCCTTATAACCATGAGTCTGACCAGCATGATTATATTTTAGGAAAACTGGCTTTCAGTAGCTCCTTCCTCAAAAACCACTGTGGCCAATTTCAGGTTCTCAAAGAGACTCTTTCCAGATGCTCCTGTTTGCTGTTGCTGCTGCTTCTGCTTTCATTGCCAAGGAAAGGGTTGCAGCAGAAGATGCTCCTCATCTGTAAAATAAGCTGCTTCTCTCCACTCAGCCTGAGCACACTCAGGGCTCCAGACTCTAAAGAGAAAAACCCTTTCCTCCATCCCCACTCAGATGCCCACTTCTGCAGCCACCACCGTATAGGATCGAACTTCCTGACAAAATTATTTGTGCCCCATGCCTCTATTTCCTCTCTTCCTGTGCAATCCTGAAGGCCCTTCCACCTTCCCACCCCTAGGAAATTACTCTGGCCTTGATCCCCAGGGCCCACCAAGAAGCCAAACGGAGTGAACTTTTTCCTGCCTTTAACCCCTGGAGAAGTGTCTGTAAGTTCCCGTACCATCTGCTACATGTTCTCCTTGAACTCAGCCCCTTACCTGCCAAATCGCAAAAGACCTCGCTTGTTCACCCTCTCCTCAGCCTATTAGACTCTTTCCCTCCCCTTCACTGGCTCCACCCTCCTCCCTCCCACCTACTAAGGAAATACTTTCCGGACTTTTTATCCTTCCCACATTAAACTCCAAGACCTTGCCTTCCCAAAACCTCATCTGTCCGAGGCTCTGGGTACTGTCCGGAGTAACAGTGAATTTGAGGTCTACAGGGAGACACTTTTGCATAGGTGTGTGTAGCCTTTTGTAAAGTGCCCGTGTGGATCTGGTTTTTACTGTTTAGCAAACAGGATCACCCGGGCCTTGTTTACTCCATGCCTTGTTATGAGACTTTCCGTTTGGCTGGCAGAATTCAGCCAGAGAATGCCCTGTGCAGGCGCAGAGAAGGACTGTAAAGTGCCAGGGGTGGGTGACTGGTTAACCGTTTACCTCCCTGCCATGAAGGACAGCAGAGAAGAGGCCCCAGCCGCTGCCCAGCCCTGCCCACAGCCTTGGTGTTCCTGATCCAGCACATTGCCATTCTCCTCGCCCCAGCCACCAGCCAAGGAGGCTGGAAGATCAATCAAGCTCCAACCACTGGGCGTCCCATCACAGGGTGGTTTTTTTTTTTTTTTTTTTGAGACGGAGTCTCACTCTGTCGCCCAGGCTGGAGTGCAGTGGCCGGATCTCAGCTCACTGCAAGCTCCGCCTCCTGGGTTTTCGCCATTCTCCTGCCTCAGCCTCCCGAGTAGCTGGGACTACAGGCGCCCGCCACCTCGCCCGGCTAGTTTTTTTTGTATTTTTTAGTAGAGACGGGGTTTCACTGTGTTAGCCAGGATGGTCTCGATCTCCTGACCTCGTGATCCGCCTGTCTCGGCCTCCCAAAGTGCTGGGATTACAGGCTTGAGCCACCGCGCCCGGCCCAGTGGTTTTACTGCTAAGGTTGGTGTTGCTGTTTGTGCCAGGGGTTCTGTTCAAAACCAAGCTCTTAGAAGAATTTGGAGGAAATTATGACTGCAACCATGTCTTTGTAAGTGTTATCTTCTAAGGAGGAATTTGTGGACTTTGGAGTAAGCTGTAACAACTCAACATTAACTTTTTCCCCCCAATTTTTATTATTATTGTGGAAAGTTGTGGGAAAATGTTGAAAAGTCAGAAATGTTGAAAGTACAACGAAAATCTATATGTCTTCCACCTTCTTCAACGATTTTAATGCTTGCCAGATGAGTTTCATCTCTGCATTTGTGTACATATTTTTTGTTGTTATGGAACCATTTAAAAATAAGTTGCCAATAGTATGTTTCATTCCTAAATACTTCAGCATGGATCTCCTAAGAACAGGATGTTAGATGCCTCTATTTAACACCTAAGAAGATTAACAACCATTCTATAATATTATTTAATAGCCAAGCCCTATACAAAATTTCCCAGTCATCCTACAAATATCTTTTATAGTTTTGATTTCACCAACTCAGCATCCAATTGAGGTTCAGATGTTGCATTTGGTTATTATTTCTCTTTAGTCTATTTAAAACAAATTTTTTTACTGAAGTAAAACTAACATTCAATACATGTTAATGCATTCATTTTAAGTGCATACTGGATGAGTTAAAAAAAAATGTGCATGTCCTTATCACTACCACCCCAGTCAAAATATTTACAAAGTTCACTCCTTCTCCCTTTGCAGCCTATCTCTCCTCCTCTCACCCCCACAGCCCCGACTCCAGGCAGCTGCTGATCTGATTTTTCTATCTATAGGCAGCTTTGCTAGCTCAAGAACTTCATAAATGTGATAATATGGTTTGTGATCTTCTGTGGTTTCTTTCACCGAGTATGCTCCACCTGGGATTCACCCATGTTGTTGCATATGTGAGTGGGTGGCTCCTTTCATTGCTGAGTAGTATGCTAGTGCATGACTCCACCACCATTTGCCTGTCCATTTAGCCGCTGATAAAGACTTGGATTGTTTCTGGTGTTAGGCCACTCTGATTAAAGTCTTTATGAAAATGTTTGTACAACTCTTTTTGTAGACATATGTTTTCATTTCTCTTGGGTAAAAATCTGGAGTAGAACTTATGGATCATATAAGTGTATATTTAACTTTATGAGAACCTGCCAAACTGTTTCCAAAATGTTGACAACATTTTGCACTCCTAACAGCAACATATGAGAGTTCTAGTTTCTCTGCATCCTCACCAATGCTTGATATTATCAGTCCTTCACTTTTTGTCATTTTTGTGGGTGTATGGTAGTATCTCTCTGTGGTCTTAATTTGCATATCCCTGATAACCAGAGTTGTTTTGTGTGGTTCTTGGCTATATATATATATATACCTTTTGTGGTGTGTCTGTTCAAATATTTTGTCTTTTTTAAAAGTAAGTTATCTTTTTTTTTTTTTTTTTTGAGAGGGAGTTTCATTCTTGTTGTACAGGCTGGAGTGCAGTGGCACAATCTCAGCTCACTGCAACCTCCACCTCCCAGGTTCAAGTGATTCTCCTGCCTCAGCCTCCTGAGCAGCTGGGAAAAAAGGCATGCACCACCACACCTGACTAATTTTTTTGTGTAATTTTTAGAGAGATGGGGTTTCACCGTGTTGGCCAGGCTGGTCTTGAACTCTTGACCTCAGGTGATCCACCCACCTCAGCCTACCAAAGTCTGGGATTACAGGCATGAGCCACCGCACTGGGCCATAAGTTATCTTTTTATTATTGAGATTTAAATATGAATCCTTTGCCAGGTTTATGTAGTACAAATATCTTCTGCCAGTCAGTGACTTGACTTTTCAAGTACCCAGGTGACTTTTCTTTTTGTTAATATTGTCTTTTAAAAGCAGAAGTTTTGTATCTTGATGAAGCTCAATTTGTCAATATTTTCTTCATGGTTGGTGCTTTCTGTATCCTGCCTAAGAAGTCTTTGCCTACCTCAAGGTTACCAAGACATCCTTCTATGTTTTAGTCTAGAAGTTGTGTAGTTCTAGCTTTTGCATTTAGGCCTATAATCCATTTAGAGTTAGTTTTTGTATATGGCATGAGATAGGAACTAATGTTTGTTGTTTGTTTTTGTTTTGCTTTGTTTCTCACACATATACCCAGTTGTTTCAGTGCCATTTGTTGAAAAGACTCTATTTTCCCAATTGAACTACCTTGGCCTATTTATTTTTAAAAAAATCAATTGACCATATATATGGGTCTATTTCTGGACTCTATTCTAGTTCATTGATCTGTATGCCTATCCTCTGCCAATATTACAGCGTCTTGATTACTATTGTTTATAGTAGTCTTAAAACCAGTTGTGTAAATATTCCAAATTGTTATTATTTTCCAAAATTATTTTGGCTCTTCTGGTTCATTCATTCATTTGATACTGATTTAATTTCTTTGAGAAATGTTTTAGAGTTTTCAGTACACAGGGTGTGTGTGTGTGTTATTCTAAACATTAATCATAATATTCTGAAACATTATTCTCTGGTATTGTAAATAGGATTTTTATTTCATTTTCCAATTGTTTATACTGATATATAGACATATAATTTATTTACATATATTGATTTTGTGTTCTGTGTCCTTTCTAAATTCACTTTTTTTGTTTTAGCAGCTTTTGTACAGACTCCTTGAGATTTTCTATGGTCACGATCATGTTTTACTTCTTCCTTTCCAACATAGGTGCTTTTGTTTCTTTTTTCTTGACTTTTTGTATGGCTAGGATCACAGCAAAATGTTTAACAGAAGTGATGAAAGAAAACTTCCTTTCCCTGCCCTCATCTTAGAGAAAACATTCAGTCTTTCATCAAAAAATATGACACTAGCTAAAGGTTAGCGGACACAGAAGAAGCATTTGACAAAATTCAAAATTCATTTTGAGTAAAATGCTAAAGGCATCTATATTGTCTCCCTTTTTTTTTGTTTTTTTTTTTTTTGAGAGAGTCCTGTTCTGTTGCCCAGGCTGGAGTGCAGCGGCGCGATCTCAGCTCACTGCAGCCTCAATCTCCCAACTAAAGCGATTCTCCCACCTCAGCCTCCCAAGTAGCTGGAACTACAGGTGAGCACCACCACAGCCAGTCAGTTTTTTTATTTTTTTGAAGAGACGGGGGTTCTCACTATGTTGCCCGGGCTGGTCTCAAACTGCTGAGCTCAAGCAACCCTCCTGCCTCAGCCTCCCAAAGTGCTGGGATTCCAGGCGTGAGGCCCTGTGTCCAGCCTAGATTGCCTTCCTTTAAAGACTGTTGCATTTTGTTTTTGTAGGCAGTTGATTCATTTATGGATTGGCCTATTCTTTTGAGGAAGATCTAGAGTAGCCTTTATTTTTGGTTAGTTTGGTCCTAATCCTGAGGTGTGGTCTTTCTGGTACTCTACTCAAAGCCCAATGAGGTCTTTTCACTCTGGTTGTTCAAACTTAAACATCTCCCAACTCTGTATAAGCTCCAGAAGTTGTTTAGTTCACAGTTGCCTGGCAGCCATTCTTCCCCCAGTGGTGGTTTGATCCACCTTGTGGTGCCTCACACTGCACATGTGCCACTTGGTAGTTAGCCAAAGACTTGAGGGGAACCCTATGACCTGGAATTCTTTATTTATTTATTATTTATTTTTTTTTGTTTTTGTTTTTTTGAGGCAGAGTCTTGCTCTGCTGCCCTGGTACAATCTTGGCTCACTGCAACTTCCACCTCCTGGGTTCCAGTGATTCTAGTGCCTCAGTCACCCAAGTAGCTGGGACTACAGGCACCCACCACCATGCCCAGCTAACTGTTGCATTTTTATTAGAGATGGGGTTTCACCATGTTGGCCAGGCTGGTCACGAACTCCTGGGCTCAAACCATGCTCCCACCTCAGCCTCCCGAAGTGCTGGGATTATAGGCGTGAGCCACCGCACTCGGCCAACCTGGAATTCTAACTCTGCGCAGTTTCTTCTTCTAAAGGGTTCTTTTTGCCTTCGTCTCCCCGAACTCCAGTATCTGTGATCGTCTTCAGCTCAGTGAGACTTCTGCATTTTGTTTAGCTTCTCCATCTCTGTGTTGGAATTCAGCAAATGGCTCTGTCAGAATGTCTTGGTGGTTGGGAGGCTCACCTTGTTTGTTTCCTTTCTGTCTTGATTACAGCCCTGTGCTACCAATTATGTCTGAAACCAGTTATTTCATATATTTACCCAGCTTTCTAGTTTTGTATGGCAGGATGGCCAGCCAGTACTGGTTACTATGCTATGGGTGGAAGCAGAAGAGTCATTAATCTCTTCTCATTTAGAGCAGGGGTCAGGTAACTTTTTCTTAAAGAGCCAGATAGTAAACACGTTAGGTTTTCAGGCAATACTGTTTCTGCTGCAAAAGCTCAGCCATGTCATTAGAGCACAAAAGCAGCCATAGGCAATACCTAAGTTAGTGAGCATCATTATGTTCAAATGAAACTTTATAAAAACAGGCAACAGACCCGCAGCCCATAGTTCACCAGCCCTTGATCTAGAACAGTACTCCAGCCCTTTTCCCCCTGTGACATTGACTTTGTCAAGACTCCAGGTCACTCATCTTACTGAATGCCCGAAATCCTACTTATCAAGATATCACATAACATATTCCTTTATCCCTTGTATTTTCTATAAAAGGTCATTGGGTCAAAGCCTTCATGAGAATCAGGCTAAACATTTTTTCACAGGAATAATGTCTTAGGTGATGTTGAAAATATTGCTTTTGAAAAAGTATCATCAAAGTCAGTGCAACTGAGTTATGATCATTCACAAATTCATTCATTCTCCCATGCGTCATCCATCCGCCAAAAACTCATGATGCAGTTACCTCTGCCAGGCGTGATGCTATGAGTGCTCAACAGGATACAGTGATGTGGTCCAACTTGCCCTCAGTGGGGCTGGGGTGGGATTGGTGGGTGACACCGAAGCACAGTGCTAGAAAAGTCAGCATCTCACTCTTTTTCTGGGCAAGGACCAAAGGGCTTACTTTATCTGGAGCACTTGTAACAATGCAAATTCACTAGCCCCTTGGACCCACTGGAATAGAACCTCTTGACGAAACACAGAAATCTGTGTTTT